TACACACACACACACACACACACACACACACACACACGACCAGACCAGGAGGCCATATTGCACAGTGACCGAGAACTCTCCTTCTAGAGAATAGGGTCGCTCCTTGACCCAACCGAGCAGAGAGGAGTGGGAGGAGTTAGAGAGAAGTGTTGTGCTTTAAAAAGAAGCAGTAACACAGGACCTGGAGCTCCCTGAGCTTCTGTGCCAGCTCTCAGAGGGATAATGGCAGCAGCATTAGGACTTTGATGTGGTTTCAAAAAGGAGGGTTTGGGCCTAAAAACAAAAGTACCCAGTGGATACTCTGTGGGCCCTAAAATTCTATTGTAAATTACCCCCAGTTATTCGCCACACTGGCACACAGAGTGCACCTCGCAAAGCAAAGTACCCTTCCATCGCAGCTCGAGTACCTCCAACCCCTGCCCTACTGCCCTGACCCCCAAAACCAAAAGCTTCAGATTCCTGGCTGGGAAGCTATATCAACAGGCCCCTTAGGATAGAATTAGAAACACGTGATGATTTGAAGAAAAACTGCTTAGGACAGAACTCACTCTATGGCCAGGATCTCATTGGAAAAATCAAAGTGAAGATTAGGCAACAGGAGCTAAGTCCAGGCTTGAGTGCCCCTGTTTCTATTGATTTCAGAGAGGAAGGGAAAGAGAGTGGGAGAGAGAAACATCAATGATGAAAGAGAATCATTGATTAGCTGCCTCCTGCACACCCCCCACTGGAGATCAAACCAGCAACCCAGGCATGTGCCCTGACCGGAGTTGAACCTTGGACCCTTCAGTCTGCAGGCCTATGCTCTATCCACTGAGCCAAACCGGCCGGGGCCCTCTCACATCTTCTCGAGGTGCTGGCCAAGCTTCTCCCACCTCACTCGGTCGGGCCCGGCCTTAACCGCTCCCTCCCATAGGCAGACACTGGCTCCCAGACTGAAGGTACAGCTCTCTCCAAAGGCACCTGGGAGGTCGCTTCCAAGCAGCACCTTAAAGAACCTTTTTCTTTTAAAAATCTTTAGGTTTCTTTTGTCCCCTTTTCTTAAAAAAAACACACCTCTATCTCTCTATCTCTCTATCTCTACCTCTGTCTCTATCCCTATGTTTATCGTCCTAGACAGTTTGGCTCAGTGGACGGAGCTTTGGCCCACAGACTGAAGGTTCTGGGTTTGATTCCGGACGTACCTCGTTGCAAGCTCGATCCCTAGCCCTGGTTGGGGCACATGCAGGAGACAACCAATCGATGTATCCTTCTCACATTGATGCTTCTCTCTCTCTGTCTCTCCCTCCCTTCCACTCTCTCTCTAAAAATCAATGGAAAAATATCCTCAGGTGAGGATTAACAACAACAAAAACTGATAGATAGATAGATAGATAGATAGATAGATAGATAGATATAGAGATATCGATATTGATATATGAATAGCTCTTCATTTAAAGTACAGGCCCCAGCCGAAACCGGTTTGGCTCAGTGGATAGAGCGTCGGCCTGTGGACTGAAAGGTCCCAGGTTCGATTCCGGTCAAGGGCATGTACCTGGGTTGCGGGCATATCCCCAGTAGGAGATGTGCAGGAGGCAGCTGATCGATGTTTCTCTCTCATCGATGTTTCTAACTCTCTATCACTCTCCCTTCCTCTCTGTAAAATATCAATAAAATATATTAAAAAAAAAAAAAAAAAGTACAGGCCCCAGGTTGAGGTATGCTGTGGCCTGGCCTGCTGTCACGGCTGTAGGGTACAGCGGGTCGGGTGGGGCTGGCAGGGCAGCTCCCTGGAGAGGCCATCCCGTAGTTCTTGCAGGGGCTGCTCCCAGCATCATTTGGTTCTTGCAGGCGAGGAACCCATAGGAGGCAATCAGCAGGGCCTCCTCCTACGGGATGCAGATGAGCCATCCTCCCACCTTCGGTAGGACACCTCACAGGTGCTCGCCCACAGGGCAAGCTCTCAGGGCAGCAGCCGGGCAGCCGGGGCTGGCTGCGGGGCTGGCTGAGTCCGATCTGGCTGCCACCTTGCTGATGATGGGGGTCCATCTTGTGGGTGATGCAGGTGCAGCGGTAGCCAGAGCCCTTGAACAGCTTCTTGGAAAACCAGTGGTATCTGTAGTGCTTAGAGCCTCCTGGAGAGCCCCACCGAACACCTTCAGCCTCTGCCTGCTCAGGCAGCCCGGGTCCTCAGGAGGCTGGAGAGGAAGCCTGTGGGGTGGTCCCTGGGAGCATGTTTGTCCTCTTCCCGGTCCAGCTGGCCTGACTCCGGCCGTGCGCGGCTCTGGCACCGGTGCCGCAGCCAGGAGCAGTGAGAGGCCTCTGGGGGGTCCTACGCTCTGCAGGGAGCACTTGCTCAGGGCTCTTCACTTTTGCCGTTTAAAACGCCTGCATCTTCCCCCATCCCATCCCTTTCCCTGCTCTCCAAGATAACCCCTACCCCGAACTAACCATTATCATTCTCTTACTTTTCTTTATAATTTGACCATCTCTGTTTTTATCTCCAAACAGTATATTGCCGAGTTTTGCAAGTTCATGAACTTCATGTAAATAGAATTGTTTTATATTTTCCCAAGGTTTGCTTTCTATATTTTTTTCAAGGTTTGCTTTTTCACTGAGCATTTTCTTTCTTTTTTTTTTTTAAAAATATATTTTATTGATTTTTTACAGAGAGAAGGGAGAGAGATAGAGAGTTAGAAACATCGATGAGAGAAACATCGATCAGCTGCCTCCTGCACATCCCCCACTGGGGAAGTGCCCGCAACCCAGGTACATGCCCTTGACCGGAATCGAACCTGGGCCCCTTCAGTCCGCAGGCCAACACTCTATCCACTGAGCCAAACAGGTTCCGGCTACTGAGCATTTTCATTGCTATAGTTTCCATCTTATGGATTGAGGGCTTATATCATAACTGGTGGCCCAACATTTGGAGTTTTGCAGTTTGAAGTCTGAGGCCGCTTCTAGAGCATGGCTCTCGTCCTTGGATTTGAAAACTGCCTGCAGAACTTATCTGTTGATAAGTAACCCAAAAGCTTTTGTTCTACAAGTAGAACACTGACAAATGCCTAAACTTCGGTTACCCATTGTTCTTGTATCACAGCCCCACTTGCTGAGCCCTGAGTCGGCCACTGTTGAAAGTCCAATTGCCTCCAATTGAGAAATGATGTAAGTTTATGGTCTTGTTTCTCCTAAAACCCATCTCTTTGATGATCAGCTGCTAGCAGCTTATATCTTTTAAAAACTCTGTTCTCCTCCTCCCACCTCAGAGCGTGTCTTTGGTTTATACCTAGAGCTATGTTGTCTGATTTGCAAATCACATAGGAATAAAACTCTCTTAATTTCTTTTGGAACTTTTGTTAACAGAATCAACCAAAAACATATTCCACTTTTGATGGACATAGAGCTGTTCCCAGTGTTTTGCTAGTTTCAGGCAGTGCTGTTATGAACATTCTGTGCATGGATTCCCATGGTGGTGTCAGTGAGCTCTCCTGAGGTTTCGTGAGAGGCTAGGCTGGTCACAGGGAATGCATACTTCAGCTTCACCAGAAGATGCCCAGTTGTTTTCCAACGTGCAAGTAATTGCAGTTTGCAGTCCCAACAGGCAGGAGTGTTTCCGTTTGTTAGATACCTTCACCAATACTTGATGTTCACTTATTTTTTTTGCAAATCATTAAAATAGTATGTCATTGTGGTTTAAAGTGTAGCTTAATTTGCATTCCTTGGGTTTCTAATGATATTGAACATCATGCTATATGTTTATTGGCCATTCCCATTCCCTCTTGAAAAGTGCCTAGTCATTTGCCCAGTGTTTCTTCTATTGATTTATCTTATTCTCATTGATTTGTAGTTCTTTATATGTCCTGGGCAGTCATCCTTTGACAATTTAACAAATCCTTTGTTAAGCATGAATATGTCTGTCTTATCTCTCTAGCTAGATTATTAACCCTGGGGGACAGTGGAGGGTACAGAAAATACATTAAACCAATAAGAATCCTGGAGAATTATAACTCCCCATTTCCTGTACAGCTCTTTTCACATTTGCGAGTCCTTCAGTAAAGTCAGGGGTTTTCAATCGCTGGCCTGGAAGGTTACAGGCTGTTTTGTTTGCTTTTTGTTGTTAATCCTCGCGGGAGGATATCTTTTCCATTAAGGGAGTGAGGGAGGGGGAGAGACATCCACGTGAGAGACACAGGGACAGCCTGTCCCCCAATTGAACCGGCAACCCAGGTACCTGCCCTTGACGGGGAATCGAACCCACAACCCTTTGGTCAGCGGGGCCGACGCTCTAACCACTGAACAGCACCAGCCAGGTACGTTTTACTTTATTTATTTTCAAAGAACCAATCACAAGAAGACAAAGAATGTTGAGTTGTCTGATTTTGCTACACCCAGATGAGGGCGTGCACGCACGGAGTGAACTCGCGGCCCTCTCCTTGATGACTGGTGCGGGGAAGTGGTTTCCTTTGCCCCAGGTGTTGCCTTGTGATCTCTGCTTGTACCAGTCTCTCTAGCTTCGCAGAAATCTCTCCGAACTGAAGGCCAAATTCTGTTGGGTCAAGTCCCTCCAGGCTTGGCACGTAGCCAAGCGCTCAGTTCCTTTACAGATTTACCTACAGCGCCCAGAAATGCAAGGTCCAGCCACAGTGCTAGGAATTAGGGCGGCGGAAACGCGCGCACCCCAGGTGGTGCTTCAGCTGTAGCCACAAGCCTCCTCCCCCTGAATTTCCTCCGCTGAAGACTCCGGGGGACGTGTCCTGCGGATGGGAAGTGGGAGGCGTCCCTGGGTGCAGCGGCCGGAGCTTGGGAGGCTTCAGCGGGTGGCCGTGTGCTCCCTGCTCGGCTTCGCGGGACGGAGAGGAGGCCAGCAGGACTTTGGAACCTTCCTGGCGGTGTTGCAGTCAGAGGGTGCAAGGTCAACGCTTGGCGCCTTCAGGCAGCGGGTGCCCGAGCGGCCCCCACAGCCCCGGGGTAGGGGTGGGCCCTGAATCGCCGGGTGCGGGGGGGGGGGGGGGGGGGCGTCACGGGCGCCCGCTCCTGATTGGCCGCCGCCACCGTCACGGGCCGGGCGCTGCGAGATTGGCAGAGCCAGAGGCCGGAGCCGGAGTACGGACCCGGGGCGACCGATCGCAGTCCCGGAGCCGAGGGGCTGGCGTGGACACCAAATCCCAAGCCCACGCTGGGAGTCCGGCCGGGAAGCGCGCACCATGCCCTACGTGCTCATCAGCACCCAGATCCGCATGGTGAGTACCCGCCTGGCCAGTGGCGTGGGGGCCGCCGGGCCTCGGGGACTGCGGCCGCACTTGGGCGCCTCCCTCTTGGGCAGCGCCCGCGGTGCAGGGCCGGAAAGTGTCCGGACACACCCCCTCGGGCCTCGGGGAGGGAGGGGTGCAGGGCCGGGAAGTGTCCGGACACACCCCCTCGGGCCTCGGGGAGGGAGGGGTGCAGGGCCGGAAAGTGTCCGGACACACCCCCTCGGGCCTCGGGGCGGGAGGCTGGGGATCCGACTCTGCCCAGATCGCGGAACTCGTAGCTCTGGCCGTCCTGGCGCCCCCGGGGCGCGAAGGAGGCCAGGTGCGTGCGTCCCCGCGACCCAGCGAGCATGGGCTTTGCGGCTGCTCCCACCTGTCCACGGGAAACCCTGGCCTCACACGTGCAGCACCCACTGCCCTACACGGAGCCGCTCCGCAGGGGGTTGGGGTGCGGGGGCGTAGTAACCTGCGGAAGAGCGGTTTGGAAAAGGACGTGCTAAGATGCTGAAACACCTATGCCCAGTGCCTGACCCACCCACGGCCTGTAGCTGCACCCTTAAGCACTTCCAGGGAGAGTTGCCCCTAAGGCCTTAGGAAAGGAAAAGAAAAAAACAAAACTCTTCCTGCTCAAGAAGGAAGAGGGGCCCTAGCCAGTCGGCCTGCGGACTGAAGGGTCCTGGGTTCATTCAGGGCAAGGGCACATACCTCTTTGCAGGCTCCTCCCCAGCCCCAGCCCTGGTCTGGGCGTGTGCAGGAGGCAACCAATCCATGTGTTTCCCTCATATCGGTATTTCTGTCTTTCCCTCTCTCTTCCACTCGCTCTAAAAATCAATGGAAAAATATCCTCGGGTGAGGATATTAAGAAAACAAACAAAGCCGAAACTGGTTTGGCTCAGTGGACAGAGCGTCGGCCTGCGGACTGAAAGGTCCCAGGTTCGATTCCAGTCAAGGGCATGTGCCTGGGTTGCGGGCATATCCCCAGTGGGAGATGTGCAGGAGGCAGCTGATCGATGTTTCTCTCTCATCGATGTTTCTGACTCTCTATCTCTCGCCCTTCCTCTCTGTGAAGAATCAATAAAATATATTTTAAGAAAAGAAAAAAAAAAAAAAGAAAACAAACAAAAAGAAAAAGAAGAAAGGGGAGAACACCATTCAGGCGTCAAAAGTCACCCTCCTTCGGGTGCAGTTTCCTGCCTAAGAAGGTGCTGGCTGGGGGGGGGGGGGGGGGCCTTTTTAGCTTCGGAATATGACTGGGTCCTCGGCTGGGCAGGATGCTCCTCTGCCTCTTCACTCCCCAGGGATGTGCCCCGTCGGGTAAGCAGCTCCCTGGGTGTGAGGGAAACTGGCGGCCACCACAGGACGGGTCCTGGCCGTGCCCAGGGCAGTGGTCCGAGAACCAGTCACTGGCGCAGTTGTTAAATGTGGGCTCCTGGGCCCCGTCCCAGACCTCTCAGCACGCTAAGCCCGGGCGTGGGGGTTCAGTGCTCTTCAGGTGACTTTTAAAAATAGGCCAGCTTTATTGCTATGTAAAACACAAACCACAGCATTCACCGATTTAATGTGTACAATTCAACACTGGGTTTTTTAAGCATATTCAAAACCATCATCTTAATCAATTTTAGAACATTCCCATCACCTTAGCAGTCACTTCTCATCACCGCCCGCCCCCAGGCCCCCAGCCCCAGGTAAGCACTAATCTACTCTCTGCCCTAATATGTGGTCACGTATCTGGCGTCTTTCACTTACGTAAGGCTTTCCAGGTTCACCTACATTGCAGTATGCATGTGCTCATTCCTTTTTATTGCAATTAAGATCCCATCATATGGATATGCCACATTTCATCTACCCATCAGCAGCCGAAAAACATTTAGGCTGTTTCCACTTTTGACGATTATGAATAATACTGCTACCGACATTGCCGTTCAAGATTTTATGTGGCCAGGCTTTCATTTCTCTGCTCTCCAGCTGACTGTGACACACACCAAACACGGTGGTGGGTGGTGCCAGGCACGTAGGTGCCAGCTCAGACACTGCCCAGCTCCTCTTGGAGGTGAGAGAAGCCTCACACTGTCTGGCTTCACCTTTTCCAGAGTGTTCTCAGCCCTCAGGGCGCTCACCAACCCTCCAACCTTTATCTAAGCTGGCTCAGGACCAGCAGGCAGGGAGGAAGGAGCGGCAAGACCGGCTACCTCCCCCTGGCAGCCAGCCAAGCATCACTGTGGCTTACCTTGCAGGAGGTGGGTCCCACCATGGTGGGCGACGAGTACTCCGATCCAGAGCTGATGGAGCATTTGGGGGCCTCAAAAAGAGGCGTCCTGGGGAACAACTTGTAAGTAGTTGCATTCGTAAGTATCCTTTCCCCTGGACCCGTCCGTCCCCGTCACACACCACCAAGACGAGGGACAATGCCACTGCCCAACCTCAGACCTCCTGCCTGCCTCCTGGGTGCTGTCCTTACAGGGCCAGTCCGCCTGCAGCCTCACAGCCCCCCAGGCTTGCTCTGAGGCTCTCCCACCGCCCTCCCTTCATAAGGGAGCTCACAAAGTCAAGTCCCAGGACAAAGTCCCAGGACAGAGTCCAGTCCTAGAGATAGGACTATGGACGTAAACTATTCCCTGCGCTGCCCCTATCTCCAAGCTGGACCTTACGTGGCAAAGACAGGCACAGAGAAAAGGTTTCTGTCTTGAAGAGCTGGCTGGTTAACAAAGCTAAGCCCTAAAGCCGGGAGCGGGCAGCTCAGCCAGCAGCCTGCGTACTTGGCCACCTCTTTTCTTCACACTAGTCCTGAGCTTGAACACTGAGTGCTGCTTCCTTTTCTGCCCTCCCATTCATGCCCCATAGGCAGGGAGAACCTGCGTCACAGGCGGGACTCCTTAGAAGGGTCCCCAGAATGAGCCCCATTCAAAGGGGGCAGCAAAGAGGAGGTGAGCTGGTGTCAGCCCCTTGGGTCAGGGTGGGAGGGTGGAAGCCAACCCCATCCATTTGCCTTTGGTATGGAGATGCCCAGCTTGGAGCTCATGCCCTTTACCTATGTGATGGCCTTTTAGAATCAATTCACCCTGAAAGAAGGAAAAGCGCATTCTCTGTGCTGGGGAGAGGCGCCCAGAGCCAGGAACCATTGGGGGTCAAGCCATGGCCCCAGGACTGGAGGGCAGGCTAGGCAGGAGGAGGGGCGGAGGCTAGGTGAGGACCTTGGGGAGCAGCCATTCTTCCTGAACAGTGCAGCAGCCTAGGGCACGTGGGGCTGTCAGCCCCGTCTTATGACATTGGGAAAGCCACTTAAGCCCTCTGTTTTCTCATTTACAAAATGGAAACAATAATGGTGCCTTCCTCAGGTTGTTGGGAGGAATAAAGGAGCTAATGGTCAGCAGGGGAGGGTCAGGGAACGTGCACCCAGCCCGGCACCTGGAAGACACCAGCCAGTGTCAGTCACTGTCACGAGCATTCCCGACCAGGTGTGGCCTTCAGCAGGTACTAGCTTTGTAGGGGACGCCTGCACGGTGGCCCCCTCACGCTGCCCCTCTCCATCTGTTCGCAGCTACGAGTACTACGTCAGTGACCCTCCTCGAATAGTCCTGGACAAGCTGGAACGCAGGGGCTTCCGTGTGCTGAGCATGACAGGGGTGGGCCAGACGCTGGTGTGGTGCCTGCACAAGGAGTGACCCTCACTGTGAGGCGTGGACAGGGCACCCCGTCTCTGAGTGGTTGCCTGTGGGTCCTGATCCCAAGCCCCGCCTCACTCACTGCCCTGCCCCTCTTCCCAAACTGTCACTTCCCTTGGACCAGCACCACTGGGCAGTGAATGGCCTCTGAAACCTGCTCCCAGCTGCCCCTCCACCTTCCAGCTGGTGAGGGTTCTGGAGGAGTCCATGCTCATGGGCAGGCTGAGGGGCTGGCAAGAGCCAGGCTAAGCCAATAAAGGGCCGTGATGACTGGTTGATTCTAAGCTCCGTGCGTGCAGGGACTCTCAGCAAGTGGAGCACCTCCCTGGGGTCTGTCCACTGCCGGGGAGGGGCGGGGGGGAGCCGGCCTGGGCGGAGCCTCTGAGGCAGAGCCCAGGACCCAGGCCACACTGGACAGGCCAGCTTCCTACGCCTATATATGCAACAGAGGTAGACTTAAAAAAAAAAAAGTTTATTAGTGCAAGGGGCTGGGGGTGGTGGGCTGGATGCTACGTCAGCTGCCCCACCTTGTCCTCCTGCTGCATCTGGGCGATCAGCTGCTGCCGCTCAGCTGCTTGGCGCATGCGCATCATGACGAGGCTTTCGTAGTCCCTCTCGGACACCACTGAGTCCTGGGGGACAGAGGAGGGAGAAGGAGGGCAGGGCCTGGGCAGAGCTAGTCAAGAGTCGAGAAGAACGGTGCCCAGGAGGAGAAGGACCGGGGAGGACCTACAAGCCCAGTTCATCAAGTTCCTTCAGAGCAAGCAGACCGTGGGCCTCCGGACCAGCTTCCAACCAGTACCTCCCCTCCCTCTCCAGCCAGCGCCGGTTCAGCTTTCCCTTCGTGTCCTCAGCCTCTGCCCCAGCTTCTGCTCCTCACAGGTTTCCAGGGAAGGGGAGTTGTCAGAGGTTTAGAAACCAGCTCTGCTCTGCCAGGTGGAGGCGGGAGCACTGCGCCCTCCCAGCTGTCCATCTGCCTGTGGACCGGCTCCTGCTGAGGTCACAGGAGAAGGAAGCCCTGCCCCACACACAGCCTCAGTCAACCTCAGCCTAAAAGAGAGAAACAAGCATGAAGCTGGCCTGCCTCCTAAAAACACACACCAGGGCTCCTGGAGGGTAGGGCCTGCAGCTCTTTCCTGTATGATCTTGCCAGCAGAGTGCGGGGATGAAAGACTGCTATATTTTAACAATCAAAAGGATAATAAACAACCACCTCAATGGGCCAAGGCTGTGGGGTGGAGGCGGCTCCAGTGCCACGAGCAGAGCTGCCAGCCCCACGCCTTGATAAGGTCGGCAGTGGGAATTAAATCACTTCCTCCTTCGGGGCAGCTGAACTGCATGAAGTGTGAGGCCCACCTGAGTTGGCACAGAAGCAAGGCCAGGGGGCTACGCAGCAGGCAACGGCGCCCCGTTCTGTGGTATGCCAACCTGCTGCACGCTCACGGAGTAAGTCAGGAGGCAAGTTTGGTGGTCAGTGACCCAGGGAATAAGAAGGAAGTGGCTGGGGTTAAGATGCCAGACCCTGGCCAACGGGTTTGTAGTGGGTGTGGGGGGAGGGGGGGTATGGAACAAGGAAGTGTTATTCAGCCCAGATCCCCCTGCTCCTCCCCAGCCCCACGCCTCTCTGCCTCTCCCCTGGGCTGCAGAAGCTTTGAGCAGAGTTGCCCTCCCAGCCAGGCCCACTTATCTCAGCTTGGCCAGAGCTCTGCTGACAATCCAGGGCAGTCTCATGTGACCCAGCCCCCGCCACAGAGGAGGGGCCTCAGGTGAGGCCCAGGCAGCCCACGGAAGGACTGGAGCACAGGGTGGAAGGCAGAGGACCTGCCCCTCAGCTGCTCTCTCCTGCCCTGAGGCCGTTTGGTAAACCGATGAAGGATGAGGAAATAGAGCAGCTAGACTGGGTGTCAGGCCAAAGGGAGGGCAATTCTCCCCTCCCCAAGGAAGTAGTGCTCTGCTGAGAAAACTCGTCACCCTGGCATGCCCAGCCCTGGAAGCAGCCAGCCCTTTATTGGCATGGGGCTGCTCCCTGCTAACACACCCTCTGCCGCCTTCCCCCATACCTGTGGGCTCTAATGAGGGCCTGTCGGCAGGCCCTGGGCTGAGTCACCCACACTAGCAACAGGTCTCTTCTTCCTCCACAATCGCTCCCCACGCCTGCATTCAGTTAACCAGCACCTCCCTGGGCGCCTCTCCCCCAGACACACTGGGGGCCGGGGAGCTACGCCTGCTGCTCGGCCCAGGGTGGTGGGGAAAGGAGACGGTGTGCTGACACACAAGGCAGGGCTGCCCGCAGACAAGTCCCCAGAGGAATCTTTGGCTCCCCAGTGGCCCTGGGGTGTTGGCCACGGCTGCCTCAGCTCCTGCATGCGGATGCTGCAATTACCTGAGCATGAAACCCAGCTTCCCACCTGACTGAGTCAGCTGAGAACAACACACCTCCACGCCACCCCGCCACCCCGCCACAGCCAGCAGGGCACGCATCAGAGCCGGGGAGCCACGGGGGACAGAGGCAGGGCCACGGCCAGAGGGGGAGCTGGGGCCGAGGCCGCTCCTACCACCTGAGAAGATTGATCCCTCACCCCCGGCGCTCCTCTCACTCCCTCCAGTAAGTGCTGCTGCTTCCTCTTGGGGTTTTTCCACTGCCCTATCAGGTAGCCGGGCCACTCCTGTGCTCTGGGAAACTCCGTGCCAGCAACGCTCGGCCTCTGCTGGCCTCTTCCTGGGCCGTCGTCTCACCCGCAGGTGCTGGCCTGAGGTCCGTGCTGAGCAGAAAGCTGGAGGCCTCTGCGGGGAGCCCAGGTGGGCTGTCTCCCGTTTCTTGTCGTTCGCCGCCCCGGCAGACCAAGCGGCCCCTCGCCGCTGCGGAACTGGGCTTCTAGGTGTGCTGGCTCCCTGTCCCATGGAGACCTGGCGGAAAGGCTCCTTCCGCAACGCCTCCTTCCTCAAGCGGCTGAGCCTGAGGCGGCCTCGAGGACTCCGGAGACAGGGCAGTGTGCTGAGCCAGGCCAGCACGGCTGGGGGGGACCATGAGGAGTACAGCAACAGAGAGGTCGTCCGGGAGCTTCGAGGGAGGCCGGATGGCCGGCGCCTGCCACTGTGGGGGGACGAGCAGCCCCGGACCACCCTTCTGGCCCCACCCAAGCCCCCTCGCCTCTACCGAGAGAGCTCCAGCTGCCCCAACATCCTGGAGCCGTCACCTGCCTACACTGCTGCCTACTCGGCTACCCTGCCCTCGGCGCTCTCCCTGGCAGACGCCCTCCACGAATACTCCGAGGAGGACCTCGTGGACACGCCCCCCTTCCAGCAGACACCTGCTCCGGACCTTAATGATCCCTTCTTCTCCTTCAAAGTGGACCTGGGGATTTCACTTCTTGAGGAAGTTCTACAGATGCTGAGGGAGCAATTTCCCAGTGAGCCCGGCTTCTGAATGGGGTGAGGGTGGGCAGAGGTGTGGTAACTGGAAGAGACGAAAGCCTGGGACCCAGGACAGGAAGGTAGAGTTGTGGATTAAGAAAAAGGTGCGGGTGGGAATCCAGGGCCCTGCCTGCCCTCTGGGTCCTCAACAGTCCTCCAGGTCCCCCGAGGGGAGGGGCAGAGGTGTGGAGACAAGCCGGAAATGTGAGGGGCACTCGCTGCCAAGAGCTCTGAAGGCAGCAGCGAGGCTGGGAAAGGGGCCACACGGGCAACTCCAGGGGCCAGGCAGAGACCAGCAGAGGGGGTGGGTGGCACAAGGGGCGAGTCAGGGAGTGGAGGACACACAGACTGGACAGATCAGCCCCCGCTGAAGCTACTCTCCACAGCGAGAGGTTACAGGACAGGTTTAGGCAAAAGTGGTCCAAATCAGACCTAAGGGGAGAGTGGGAAGACTGAGGGAGGAGGGATGGGACAGGCTTGACTCTGTCCAGTGTAGCAGCCACTAGCTACACGTGGCTGTTTACATTTAAATAACTGAAACGAAGTAAAATTAAAAATTTAGTTCCTCAGCTGCACTAGCTGCATTTCAAATGCTCAATCGCCACACATGACCAATGGCTACCACACTGGACAGTGGAGGGTGAACTTTATTAACATCACTGGGGAAAGGCCGACTGGGTAGTTAATAGGACCACAGTGCCCCTAGACCGTGGCCTTGAGCAGCAGTGGCGTGGGGGAGGGGAGCACAGGGGCCTGCACAGAAGGGAGGGGCTGGCAGAGGAGAAGGGGGAGGCTCAGAGACACACACATCGTTAGGAGAGGGGGCATGAGAGACTCCAGCTGCCAACACAGCTGCCTGGAGCAGCCCCTGGGGCCTGAGGAAGGTGGATCCAGGGACTGCCAGCTGAAGGCACAGACACAGCTTGAGGGCGATGTGGGCAGTTCCCAGAACTATTGCTGATGGGAGCCCTTGGGAAATGCAGCAGCAACAGTGGCAGATTTCCCTTCATCCTTCCCCCAACGAGGACACAGGAGGACCAAACCAGGGGACAGACATGGAACCCATGGCTGTTACCATGAAGAGGCACAGCTGGTCTCCAGAATCCTCCACCAGGACGGGAGCTCTGCCTAAACCCTCACCCACGGGGCCTGCCACCCGGGCCAAGCCCACTGCTGACGGCCACATGCTGTGCTATTGCTCCACACTGTGGCTTGGCCAGAAGACTTGAAACTAGAGCTCAGGTTGGCTGGGCCACGTGGTTCTGAGATTCCAGGCGTGAAGAGAGAGGGAAGCTCGACACACACTGCTTCCACCACCCAAACTGTGGCCTCCATCTCCCCTCCTCCTGTGGCTGTGCCCAGAGGAGGCTCCTCCCTGATGCAGGAGACAGTAAATAAAGTTCTCTATCACAGCCTGTGCAATGTCATCTGGGGCTGTGGAATGCTGGGACTTCACGGTGAGGGAACGCTCTCTAAAGGAGGGTCTTACGTTGGACAGTTCCTTTTCCTCCTCAGCCCATGGTCTGGGACACCTCCCAGAGCTCCGGTTCTCACGGCCAGGTCGGGGGCAAGCAGGAAAGCAGGGGTGGAGTGACAGCCCAGAGGCCTTGCTGACCCACCGAGGGGCATGCTCCCCTCAGAGGGACTATGACATCAGTCTGAGGCTCCCACACAGACCACAGGCCATTCCAGAGAAGGGAGAGTTCTTGGGTAAAAGCTCTCTGTCCCCACAAAGTGAGGGCGTATGTGTGTGTGTGTGTGTGTGTGTGTGTGCGTGTGTGCGCGCGCGTGTGTGCGTGTGTGTGTGTGTGTGTGTGCGTGTGCTCCTAAACAGAGGCCTTCATGGAGCAGTGAGGACCAGCAGCTAGTGTGGAGAACACACCAGCTGAAGCCTGCTTCCTCATGAGCCGACCAGGCAGCGGGCGCCCAGTGTCAGCGGGGCCGCTAGTGCTATTTCTGAGGAGGAGATAGCACCTCTTAACAGCAGGTCCTGCCTGGGGCAGCTGCAGACACACCTGGAGAAGGAGGTGGGGACGGAAGTGGAAGCAGCTGCCCTCGTCCTCTACCCCTTCCTCGCAGCACCGGGTTGTCCAAGAGCCAAACGCTTCACATCGAAACCAGGCAGCCTGCGGGCCCGGGAAACCCTCTGGGTGACGAAGGTCTCCAGGAGGAGCCCGGGGTGTGGAGGGAAAATAAGGTCTAAGAATCTCTGTAGGGTGGCCACTGGCACCCAGAGAGGAAAAGGGGTCAGCATGAAATCGGTCCCCCTGCTCCGGTTGGCGGACCTGCCAATCTCACTCCATCAGGATGAGCTGCATTTGCGAGCAAAGAGCCCTGAGAAGAGCCCAAACAGGAAAGATTCCCTAAACCCTGGGCAGGCCCCTGTGTGAGGCCTGGCTCCTTACCTGTGACAGTCCTGGGTGGCTGGGGCCGTCCTTGCCCTGGGGCCGTCCCTCCAACCAGGAAATCTTCAGAGGATTATCAACCAGGCCCACTTCATTCTGGACAGCCAGCTCCTGCAAAACACAGCCTCCAGTTAGTCCTATCACTCCGAAAATCAGCTATGCTGTGGCTCTCTCTATCCCCACAGAAAGTACCAGAACCAGCAAATTCACCCTCCAAGCAAGACTGAGCAATCTTCCCATGATGGTGTACCAAGTGGGGTAGCTGGAGAACGGGGGAAAGGCAGGGTGTGGCCCCAAAATGGAGACGCGCCAGTTCCCGTGGCAGAGTGGAGGGGTGGAGCCAGCAGCAGGAAATGCCGCTGGTCCACGCTGTCCCTTATCCCAGAGCATTCTCCCGCCCATCCCTTCCTTCACTGTGCCTGTACTGCTCCCAGATTCCAGAGTCAGGAGTCAAGCACCTGGGGGTTGGGGGGGGGGGGGGGATAGGGCCTTGGCTCTGAGCTAACCCAGAGATTTCCTGGGAGTGTGGATACCTAACCACAGGGTTCCCCCAGGATTGAGTCCCTCCCTGGAATGGCAGGGCCTCACGCAGCACTCACCGCAGCCTTGATGGTCGCAAACTCCACCACGGCGGTGCCTGCCTTCTTGCTGGACAGTACCAGGTTGAGCACCTCTCCGTACTGTGGGGACAGGAAGGCCCGGCTCAGGCAGAGGCAAGCCTGGCTGCCTGGGGGCCCCGGGCGTGTTCTGCTGGAGACAGCGTCTTGTTCCAAGGTTCCCAGAGGGGAGAGCAGAGACAGAAGGAAAGGATTTTCCCAGGAATACAGGAGAGAAAGGAGAGTTGGACAAAGGCTGGGACGTGGACTGGCGGAGTGGCAAAGCTGCCTCGATGACTGAAGATGAAGGGGGTGAGGCTTTTGTGCCAGATCCCACCTCCTCTCTCCCCACACACTCAGCCAAGCCCTCTGCTTCTCAGGATAACGGGCAGGGAAGCGAGACAGGCTGGAGGGGAGAGGTGGGCCGTGGCCTGGAGGAAGCTAAGCTGCCCTACGGTCCATGACAGAGAAAGAGCAGGGAGGGCGGGTTAGGCATGGAGAGCCTGGCGTTTGGATGGAGATGATGGGAAAGAGGGAAGTCAGCAGGGCAGACCTTTTGAAGAAGCTGCAGGAGGACATCTCTGGAGTAGCCGCCTTTTGACCCGTCCTCTCTGCACTTCCATTTTAGCTGGAAAGACAGCAGCGGGCATCACCAGTGAATACCAACCTTCGCCTGAACAACCCCAGGCCCCACACCTGAGCTTTACAGTCTGAACAGACGCCCTCCACTAACAATCTAGGGAGAACCCTCCCAAGTGTGTCCCCCTTGAGAACGGACAAGCAGGGCGGCCTGCTCCCTGCAGCCATGTCCCCAGCCTGTGGGAGGCTCTTTTCGAGGGCCTCTGGGGAATGCTGCCTGCAACAGTCAGGGTGAAGAGCAGCCTCCATGGCGAGCTCTACGGGCTGTCCTCCCCGGGCAGTGGGAAGGTGGAAGGCTGTGCAGAGTGGTGCTGGCTCCCCGAGATCCAGTGTCCCCACCAGAACCCTTGAGCCACAGAAAGTACCTGTTCTTGCTGAGAGGAGGTAGCGTGAGGTGACCCATGGGTCCCCTCAGGGCTCACCTTCAGCTTGGGAGTTCCTTTGCCTTCAGGATTTTCTGCCTTTCCTAGAAAATTTGGGGAAAGTAGAAAGTAGAGTCTGAGGGAGAGAGTTCTCCCAAAGGAGATGCAGTCCAGGCCCAGAAGGACCTAGAAAAGGTCACTCTGACCAAGGGCAACAGCTGCCCCTGCTCAGGAGCCCCTGAAGCTACTACCCCAGGGGGGTCTCCCGCTGCCTGCTGAAGGGCACGGTGAGCACTCTGCCAGTGCAGGCTGTGAACACCTGGGGGCAGGACGCAGGGGTACAGGCCACACAGTTCTACTAAAACTAGAGCTTCTCTCCCAGTTACCTGCTCCAAAATAGAGCCAGCCCTACTGGGACTAAGGTATATCAGGCCAGGAGACCTAGGGCAGAGTGAAAAGCAAACAGGCCAGAGAACGGGTAGGAAGAAGGGACAGGGGGCATGTGTCCATGTGGGGTGCCCCTGGGATTGCAGCAGGTGAAAGTCTCCACAGAGAGCTGCCTCAGAGCGGGAGGCGGGTGAGGACGATGGACTCTCACCTCTCAACCGCTGCTCCCGTTCCTGGCGTATCTGCTCCTGCATCAGCCTCTGCTGTTTTTCCAGCTGGCGGGAACCTTCTTCTCGCAGGCGTTCGATCTGCAGAGCAGGGGGTTGGGAGGTGACAATGCTGTGCAGATCCCATCCCAGGTTGGCTCCCTCTGTAAAGACCCTGGGAGTCCCACCTGTAAGCTGGGGCTCAGCAACCTGCAGGGGGGACAGGCTGCCCAGATCCCACAGAAGAAGGGGGGAAGGGCATGACCTCCAGCCACCACACCCAGCTAGGTTCGCCTCCCCCAACTCCTGCAGACGGCCTCAGGCCCTCAGGCCCAGTCGCTCACCTCCTGCTCTAGTGTCCTGGTGCTCCGGCTCTCCTCCTCTTCCTCGTCCTGGGCCTGGGCCTGAGCCTGCCGCTCCCGGGCCTCCAGGTCTAGACACAGGGTTGAATGGCCCAATGGCTGGTCTAAGCAGTTTTTTCACGGCCTCAGCTCCCCCAGCTCTGGCTGCTTCCCCTGCCTCACACACTGTACGGAGGAAACCGTACAGTGACTCTGCCCCCACCCTCCAGGCCCACGTGCTCCCAAGTTTATTTCCATTGAGAAAAAGTCACAGCACAGAAGTACAGGCTGCAGATGAGTGGCCAGGGTCTGGAAGAGTGAAACCAGCTCATACTGACCGAGCTGGCCGTCTGACCAGTGACCAGGGCGTGGGCAGGTGCTCATGTTGGCCACCCAGGCCGTGTGCAGGGACGCCAGTGGGAGGAGCCGTTGGCCCTGGCCCTGTGGTTGGCACCACAGCCTGACTGTGCTCTTGCCTTGGCTTTGATGCATTTCCCGCCGAGGAGCTCAGGCTGTCACTGTCTCCTTCACCTCCCCCTCGACTCACATTTACCAAGCCTCACGCGGCCCGGCCCCACAGCTCCCACAGGGGTGGCAGATTCTGTGAGGACGACACCCAGCCACAGAGCCTTCCCTTCCCGCCCGCCGTGGGAGAACTGCCCGTGGCCCGTTCCAGGCGATCGGCCGTGACAGACTCTCCTCTCAGGCTCGGGCCTCAGT